ATCCGCTGTTCTCCCCCTCTCTCTCTCTCTCAAAAATCGCACACAGATTTCAAAGAACCTCTGCCCCCCACTATGATGGTTTTATATTTTAAAATAGGTGATTACTGTTTGCTATTTTGTCATTTTTCTTACTGTTGAATGCTTCACTTTGTCATTTTTCTTACTGTTGAATGCTTCACTGTTTGGGGCTGCTTGGGTTGGTATTCTCATACTTCACTGTTGACTGGTGATTAGGTTAGGGCCTATTTTTTTTTTGCTGTAATCCTGTTCACTGTTGATGAAAGAGTTGAATCCATAGAATAATCTTTTTGATGTTTCAACTTGAAAACTTTATTTTAAGATATGCTTTTGAGTGTAATTTTTATATTTTTGTAATGTTAGTAACTTAGTATTTTGTAGTCATTGAACTAGTTGCAACTTGAACTTTATTCTCTTGTATTTTTATATGCTCAAGATGAAAGTAGTGAAAATTAAAAAATCTAGCCGTGTCGCCGTATCCTATTTTTTGGGGTTTTGCCGTATCCGTGTCCGTGTCGTGTCCGTGTCGCCGTGCCCGTGTCCGTGCTTCATAGACCTCTGTCTCTGTGTCAGGCTGTCAGCCAACAATACATGGTTTGTTATGTATCCAAGATTCTTCGATTACAAATTTGTCCATATTTGTTTGCATTAAAGCACAGATCATATGAAATATATCTTATACAAAATTGATGATCTAATTGATTGATTTGTTCGTGATAGAAGGTTAAGTTTTTTCAACATATAAGTGTAAAGACAAATGTTGACAATACATCTTATTGCCAGAAGTTTGTGCTCGAGAAGGCACTTCTTTTCCTATGCATGCATGTTAAATGTGGATTGTGGACCCCCTTAACTTCTCCCGCTCCTCTATGTACTATTCAGTAGTGAGAAAAATCCTCATTTTTCTTTACCCCTAAATGTTGAGCCTTTGATTAATTGTATCGTAATTGAACACCTTACCTACTAACCACTAGCTTCTTGATAATATATGCGTATGTTTTATTTATCTTCACATAAGGTTAATGTTTTAAAAAGTTCTGCCTTGGCCTAGGATGTACCTAGGCCTCTCGCTTAGCTCCTAGCACCTAGGCAGTAACTAGGTTGTCCATCAAGGTTTTGAGAGCACCTAGAAGAGCGTGGGTTATCCACGTCCTCCAATCTTCTTCAAACTCCTCCATTCTCCAACTATGAACACCTCATCTAACTCCTCCGACCTTCCCCACCCCCCAACCCCCACTTAAATGAAGAAAGAAATCCACCTATGTGTCAGTTTGACGCCTAGTCTTTACTATCAATTATTATAATTAAAAAATAAAAATATAAAAAACTGCCTAAGCTTTAAGTGTCAGGCCTAATACCTAAGCCGCTTAGCGCTTTCTGTAACCTTGCATAAGATTTCTTGGGGGATTGCTTGTCTGATATCTTGTGCCCGTGTCTAAGTTCAAAAATTTTCCGGCTTTGTCAATTGTATAAGATTTTTACCTCATTTAGCCACCTTACAAAATTGACTGAAAATTGTCAATTGTAGGACATTAGGGGTATATAACTAATTATTTATGGGTAAAGTTTATGTTGTTATTTTAGTTTGTACAGATTGTTATCTCCCATCATGGGTAATGAAGCTACCTCATGTACTATGTGTTTTTTCATAATAGTTGTATGAATAAAAAAATAGTTGTTACTTGCACTGTTTTAAAAAACATCCGCCTAGTCCGCTTAGGCGTACGCCTAGACCTAGGCGGTACCTAGATCGCCTAACTAGCGCCTAGCGTCTAGACGGTATTTAGGCTGCCCACCTAGATTTTACGAGCGTTTAGGGGAGCATTGTCTGCTTACATGGATTGCCCTGTAGGCCTTGATTGTGATTTTATATGTCGTGACCTACACGTCCTCCAAACTCCATTAACCTCCAAATATGAACACCTCCACTACCTCCTCCGACCTTCAGCAAAACCTCATCGACCACCACTTAAATGAAGAAAGAAAAAAACGCCCAGAAACCTCTTAAGCGCCCGCCTAGGCGACTAAGCGCTGGGCGTCAAGTTCGACGCCTAGAAGCGCCCAGCGTTTAATGTAACATTGGTTACTTGTTTTGACAGATTTATACGTCTAACTAAATTGTTACGTTATGTAGCATGAGTTTCGAGTTATTTCTTGTTTGACTAAATTAACCTCTTGTACTTGAACCTATTCAGTTATTAACTAATAGCTGATTGCCTCTAGTTTTGGAGACATCTTATTATTAAAGAAGTGCCATGATGCTAAAGATCAAGGTTCTCTCACGAGATCAGTTGAGTGCACGACAGCCATCAATTTCTCCCATTTTTGTGCACTAGCAGCCAGTAGCAGCATTGGCAATCACTTTTATGTTATACTAAGATACTCAGAATCCTTACTAAATCCTAGCTAGTTGATAATATACATTATTTTATTCATCTTCACATAATACATTGACTGCGAATTTGGGGAACTGCTTGTTTGACATCTTGTGTCTATGTCTAAATTAAACATCATCTGTGTCTAAGTTCAAAAATTTTCTAGCCATGTAAAATATTGGCTCCTAAAGAAATTGATGTAGGTGAGCTGCATTTTTGACCTTATATATAGTTGCTTCATCAAACCAACTAAAAATTGCCAATTAAAGGACATGAGCCTCATTTAAGCAACTATTTATGGGTAATAAAAGTTCGAAAACTAAGTCACATGGCACTTCTATAACTGCATATATGGATAGTATCTTGCTGAAAATTTGGATGACATACTTTAAGGGCCTGTTTGGATGACCAAAACTATTGAAAGTGAGAAGTAGATCAAAGAGTAACTTAAAAAATTATGAAGTAAGAAGTAGCGGAAATAATATTTTTTTTGTTTCACACACTTCATGAAGTAGCAGAAATGCTACTTCCTCTTCATTCACTCTTTCTGTTTGGATACCAATTGGAAATATTGTTAGGAAGTAGCAAAAGTCAACTTGACAATTAGACATATTATTTGAATACTCTACATATTCATGATGGAAGTTTTTTTAATATTGCCGGATCTTTTCAATCCTCTTATCGATTTTATGCTCATCATTATGCATACTATATTAGTTAATTTTATATCAAAAATCAAGAACTGAAGTAATTATGGATCAATAATGGCAACAAAAGGCCTAGTATACAAGACAGCTGATGAAAATACAAGGTTAAAAAAATCTTGGGATGAAATATTTCCATTCCAAAGCATAGTAGGATGCAGTTTACTTAAGCAGCTAAGTGCTAAAATGGCACGTAAGCCAAGTTCCAGTATTCAGCTGCATCCTCAATCAAAAGTTGCCTTTTATAATTAGAGAAATATCATGGATTGCTTAATGATTTCTTGCCGCTAGCGTGAGGAATTTTTTTCCCCTGTGAGATAGACAAGGAGAGTATCTTTGAAAATCTAATTACTTCTGATTTGGGATTACCTACCTCTTAGAATCTATGTGTCCCCCGCTCTTCATCTACTTCTGCTCTATTTCCTAGCGTTGAGGAGCATTAGAAAATCTTGGGAATAGAGATGCCATGTAGGCGCCACATTAGCAATTTAGGAAGTAGGAGAAGTAGTCTTAATGGAGAAACAAACACAATTTTTTACTCGGAAGTAACAGCAGTAGCCTCTACTTTTCAGCTACTTCAAAGCTACTTCCATAGGTCCTAAGTGAATTCTGGATGTATTATTGTTCTTAATAAATGGAGATTGTCTTTTGTAATGACCAAGTAGTTGAGTTTTAATATGAACATTGACTGAAAACAACTAAAAAGAAAAGGAAAGAAAATGTTACTGATGTGATGAACACATTTATTAATTTAAATGACTAGATTGCTCTTTGAGGCCCGCGAGGGGCATAAAGAGGGCTATCTACCTGACCTGGAAAAGATGGGTAAAAGGTTACTTTAGTTATCAAATGCAAGTCAGTTATTAAACTGTAGTTTGATTGGTTCACTTGTGATATGCATTTTCTTTAAAGTGGCAGAAATATTTCATAGTGAATATTATTATTATTAAATATATAACTAAGCGAAATCTATAAATCTTTGATATATTATTTTACTTTGTATTGTGAAAATGGTACTTTATTTGTTTAAACTCTAAAAGCTTAAGAGAGAGTTGATATTCAACTTCTTTCCAGTTACTTGCTTGTTCTTCCATCCTTGATTCTGGAGAAAATTAATTATTAGTATCTTATGTAGGCATTCTTATGCTTCTTCCATGCTCTAATTACTTATCCTGAATTCCTGACATCCAAACTCATGGTTGAAGTGTCGCAAAAGCTCACATGTTGTGTCAAATGCGCATCATGACTCTGTCAAATGACATTTCCTTTATATACAGTGTTTTTCCCCATCTTGCTAATTGCTATACAGTAACCTCTCTTCTACTTCAAGCCTAACTGTTTATTTGACTTCAATTCTTATATTGTAAGGACTCAAAGACATTTCTTTCATTGCCTTACCTGGCAAGCTATAGAACTCAATCAGGTTATTACTTGTCTCATTGACATCTTGACATCTTTGTCAAATGTTCGGAAAGAATCAAAGAAGCAGAAGAGGGTTTCTAAGTTCCTTTCATGTAAACAATAAGAGCTGGCAGATGCAGGTGAAGAAGCCAACAAATAGGAAGTAGATTAACTCTCCTCATGGGTATGCTGCCTTGTTTTTGACCTAAAGTTGTGATTTTATATAGTGATTTATATAGTCAATATCTCACTATAATTCTGGTAATCAGCTGATGACTTAAAATAATTTCTTCTTATTTCCATGGGTTAGACGAGAAATTGAGTTACTGAAAATCATTTCTTCTTGTTTAAACTCATTTCTTCTTGTTTCTATGGGTTAGAGGAGAAATTGAGTGACTGAAAGTCATTTGTTCTTGCTTCCATAGGTTAGAGGAGAAACTGATTCCTGATATTTTCATAAAGCTCAAGGTTGAATGTAGCTTTCACAAGATGATAATTGATAAGAATTGGCATTAGACTTAAGTCTTTTTTGTTTTCTCTTTTATTTAATCATGTGACTCCTGGTTTAGTGTTTTGGAGTTGGTGCAACATTTTCACATCAAACTTTGGCAATCATCTGTTCTTAAAACTGAGGACTTAAACAATCTCTGTTAAGAGACATTTTCTACTTTTCAATCATCGGTTTCTTTTCTTTGGTTTTTTAAATCTTTTTATGTTTTCATTTTTTCCCAAGTTGTGCCCAAATTCCTTATTTTCAGTCCTTGTTCTTTGATATTTGCTTTTGATCTTGAATAAGGGGTGCAAAAAAAGTCAAGTAATTTCCCATGGTGGTCAGGTAGTAGTAAATTGTGTGGATTGGCACAAGTAACACTGTTGAGTGTTGACGTATGATATGATGCATGTTAAGAGTCACAGCTTTTTAAGAAGCAATTGGTTTTTCCCTTTCTGGTTTCATTCCAAAGAGTGATAAACTCGCACATAGCAATGTCCTGAAAATACTGCTCATACTATTGAATGCTGCCTTAGAAAGCAAACCCTCATGATGTCAATAAAATGCTAAGACATATCAGAAATGTATGTATGGTACGGCTCTCTTTCTTATGTTTTAAAAGCGTTACAAACTTCTTCATTAAATTTTGACACTGTTTATTTCTGGACTGTTTGTAGGTCTCCTAAGTGCTTAAGAGTTCTGCTTTCCACATTTGCGTTGAAAGAAGGTTGGATGTACTTATCAATCCTTGCATGTTACACATGCATACAAACTAGTCTCTTGTTGGATGAAAATTCTACGGTGCACATGCTGAGTAGTCAGCAGCTTCTCATTATTTGAAGAGACTATTCAAATGAATCATGCGGTTCATCTTCATTACCTACATAATTTTCGTCTAGATGATGCAGCTGAGGCGGCTTATATCCTTGTATATTCTGTTTTAACTGCAATTGAAAATCTAACTGCTAGCAAACTGCAGGCTACTATGATAGAAACCCCGGAATGTGTGAAGACAAGAAAGAGTGCACCGGTTAAGAAGGTAACAGGGGAGAGCTAATATATGATGCAGATTTATTTATATAGATTATTTTTTATAGCACTATAGCCCAATTGCAGATAGACCCACTGGACTAGGGCAATAGTAGAGAGGGTCTATTCGCACTAGTTGCAGGGGGTCTATCCGCAATTAGGCGATAGTAAGGGGGTCTTTATCCGCAGTTAGCCCTTTTCATACAGAAACTGATGGTAGTGTTGCTTCCTATTGGTCGTGGATCCACCCTTAAATGTGGGAAACTGGGCAGGTCTTCTTCTTCTCCTGGGATAATGGCATCAGTCTGGAAGTTTGACGAGGAAGATGAAGATGTTATTTTTCTAGCTTGATGTAACAAGGCAATGGCTTTGATATTTGTAGCAACCTGTACCTTAGTTTGACGGGTAAAAGAGTGGTTTTGAGCCTTTCTTGTTTGTGTGCCTGTTGGTGACTCTTGTGTGAGTTTTGTATTTGAACACCAAACCTGCTCAAGTATTATTCATTCTGAGATTCATGGAAAGGTTATTTCGACATGATAAAAAGGATGTTTCGGGGGCATGTTCATAGATCCTGGGGGCTATTACAAAATATTGAAGATTTGGGAGGGGCCCGGGAGCAATTTCAAATATCGAAGTAACCCTTCATGGAATTATTTGGGGGCTAATATCAAAATATTAAAGATTTTGGCGGGCTAATATCGAAGTAACCCTTCATGGAATTATTTGAGATGACATCATGCTCTATGTGGCTGCAAGCTGTGGCTTATAATTATTTATTACAAATGACAGCAAATGGTAAGGAAATACGAAGTTAGGACAAAATCAAAAACATCTTTTTCCCAAGTAGAAGTTGTATTTGACTTCCATCATCCACGATGATAAGATTCCGACCATGTCAACTCCCCGGAATGCCTCATGCTAATCCTATCATTTGGCTTCGAGATCCACAAAACAGAAAATATTTGTCATTTTAAAGTTCCAACGATAAAGGACTACAAATCTGAACTTAGCGATGTTACTTGTTAGATTTGTCATGAAACAGACCCCTGAATGGTAACTACAACAGCAAAACAATTGAAGCTCCAAGCTCGGCAACATCATCTGTATAAACCTCCGGTAATATTATAGCCAAAATGTAGAGGGATACAATGAATACAAGATGTGCAACTCTTCCAATAACCAAAACCTCAAAATCACTCCATTTCACAACGTTCTCCAATTCCTCCCCCCTTTCCTACTAACAAACTCACACAACCGACATGGCAAAGTATCAAGACTCGCCGCTCGAGCCTTCCCATAGTTTCCCATCACTCCACATCTCCTCCAAGCATGAAACTCTGCATAAGCTACAGGATCATTTGCTACACTCTTCACATATGAAGACAATTCCTCAATCGAACTAAACTTTGATCCATCAATAATCGAGTTGGGAGGAACGAAATCCCACACATTTGGTGCACCGAAATAAATGGGCACGGATCCCGAGTCTAGAGCGTAGTATAGTTTCTCGGTCACATAGCTCTCTGTGGCAGTGTTTTCGATGGCAAGGACAAACTTGTAGTGTGACATGGCACAATGGAGATGGTCCCACCAGTGGATGTCAGACTTACGATTGGCACACTCTGGATAAAAGGCAAGTGCCATGTCGAGGCCTCCAACGTTGTTTAAACATTTTCCGAAAGAATGGTGGGGAATTAAGGAGAGGAAACTTTTGGCTAGTCGGTTTCGTTCAGGGAGGCATCTTGAAGATGACCAGTAAACTAGGGTGTCCTGAAGAGGGGGGAAAGTGAGAAAACATAAAAAAAGGGCAAATTTCATAAAGCCGCCCCCTAAACTTCATAAATTAGAGAAAAAACCTTCCTGACTTTCAGAAGTTTAAGTGTGTTTACGAAATTTACCCTAATAAGGATTTAAAGGAATTTACCCTAATAAAAACTATGTTACTAAGAAGATGGAAAATTTCCAGATTTGTCAAGCGGGAGTAATACTTTACATTTCTTTTTTCTGGTGATATGTTGTAGTTTCGACTATTATGGAACAAGGAACCGGCATATGTAGACTGAACATCATCTTTTGCATGATACCCGATAAAAATGTCCTCGAAGCCTGAAGGTTTCCTAGAAGCCTCAAGATCCATGTAAACACGAAGAGGATCACCTTTACGCCGCTGCGAAAAAACAAATATGAAAAATTTAATTACCATCTAAAATTATACGGGAATAACATAGTCTAAGGCATTATTACAGCATGATCTACCTGCAAAAATCATTTTCTGAAGAACAAAATGATAATGAAATATGAGCCAATAAATTAGAAATAATAGTTGAGTAGTATTCAAGTCTATGAATTTCTTCATCAATATTTTCGTTTAATTTAGAAAGGCATCTCAATATTCTAAGTTTCATAAAATTGAGGATCTAGTTTAGTAAATATAACTATGCAAACCTTTCAAACCAATCACCAGTCAACTACATTTTGCAGATAATATTCGATGAACCTGCAAATTGTCTCATGATAGTTCATACCTGTACAATAAATGATCCACTGCAACCCTTTCAAACCAATACATACTGACCACCATTACGTGAATACTATTAGATGAAAACACATGAAGTGTCAAACATTAATCCATACCCGTATGATTCTGATCCTTTTTACTAACATTGTGTGAAAAAAGAGACCAGCTGTGAATCTTATATATAATATAAGACAGGCAGCTTTGAAGGGGGGAGAACATGAAGAAAATGCAGCTGCTGCACAACAATTTTCGGTTAGAAGACCTCCATTTTTGCAAGTTCTGGATTGCTTACAACTAAGCATGATTCTTACAGTAACTAATGCTTATCTGATTCAGAAATATGCTAACAAGGAACTGAGGAAGTGGGAAAGATGCATCGGTTTCAGATAATGAAATTTGAGTTTCACTAAACCAAGAACCAAATTTACAGACCATATAGTTCACCATCCAGCAATGGAACCTAAAGTAGGGGCTTTCGAGATAATGAGTTCTATTTATCTATTTACCTTATCTATAACAAAACATGAAGTTTTTGTCACATCGACCTGATAAATCCTTCATCTCTATAAGTAGAAACAGAAGAAACAGGTTGGATCCGTGAATACCAATTGGCAGGTGCTCCTCCACCCTTCCTATGTTTCTTGATTTTTCATACGTTTGCATCTAAAGCAATATCCAAAGTCAGGAGCCATAGTAAAGCTTAAGTATCTCTATATAGGTTTTCTGATACTTACAGATAACATAAATGAAAAATTTCTCAAGCAGCGGTCACAAAGCGAAAGAGGAAAAGGTACTCTCTACTTCCGAGTAATTAGGGAAAAGGATACATATGTCAGCAGAATTCTTGATCTCCAACAACTCCTACTTCCTGTCAGAAGCCTCTATTTGTAAACCCAACACAAACACGCTTATGATACGAATGACATCATCCTTAAAATATTTTACAAAGCTTTCATAACTTAAGATCTCTTCATGGAAATGAATAGATCTTCTTTGAAATGTGGAGGACTTCTTGAAAAAAGGAACTTCTCGAGTAATAGAAGATTCTTTCCTGGAAAGTCAGTTTGTCTCACTGGATAAGATTATTTACCTATCAGTTTCACTGGAGCAACAACAATCAATCTAGCATTTAGCTTCTGAATCTTGAAGTGGAAAAATCAAAACAGTTTCTCGCGTATCACAAACTTCTCAGATGGGTTCTCACAATAAAGACATGATGTTCTTCTTAATCATTTACCAATGAGAGGGAAGCTGCATAGCCCAAAACTCCCATCAGAAGCATAAGGTAACTTTAAAACTAATTACCTCTTTTATTGTGAAGCCCCTAGTGAAACCTCCAAGGACAAATACAATGTTGAATGAAATACTCAACATTTGTATTAATTTTTAAAGTTTAAACATATAGTTATAAATAAATGAAACACCTAAGGAAATCACATTCATGTGAGGGAACCAAGTTCAATACACATACAAAGCCAGGCACAAGCAACTTTAACACGTCTTATAGGGTGTTTTCTCTTAAAATAGTTATGTAAGTCAATTACTTTATACATAAGTGTGGAATTGTATTGCTCAATTAGCTAACATAATTAAAATGCACAGATGGTGTTCCTTGTTTGACACTAAAATCTACATAAAATTGAAAATTTGACAACTATTTATAGTCCAATAGCAACAACGTCAGGAGAGTTAGCTCGTGCCTTTTCAAGAATTATTACGCACAAGGGAGAGTGGAAATACAAGAAAGAAGGTGAAGCTAGCTTCGTGATGCCCTATAAGGTCATACAATACAGAAAAGGGAGGAAAATATAGAAGGGAGGAGGATGAAGAGAAAATGAGAGCTAAATTAGGGTTGACTGAGGTGGGTGGCGATGGTATTTCATGTGAAGGGGTGTCTTTTGAGAGTTTTCTTATCTGTGAAGGCTCCACTTGGATGGTTTTCTTGTAAGGATCTTATTATGGACCTCTCAGTTATTTGGCTCCTCTTCTGCCTGCCTGACAGTACTTAGAACCAGATGCTAAGGGCAGTTATCTAGTTTGCACCAGTGTGTAACGGCTTTATTTGCAATATGTAGAAATGAGCAAGACTGCAGCTAGCTCAAGAAACTGAAGCAACCAACTGTACTAAGGGTGTTAGACGACCCGGCCTGTGAATACACCATTTAAGGAGGAAGGTTTAATTTGTAATAGAGCGTGAAAAGAAACTTTCAGAGACAAGACGGTGAAAGACAAGTGTTGTCTATATCAGAACAATGCCTATGCTTGTAATAACTGTGTCATTTAATTATCTCCACGTGTTTGTCCCGCATAGAACCCAATTACAACTTTACAAGGACCAACACTATAGATGCCAAATAAAATGAAACTTCCATGCTGAGCGGTCCATTGATGAACAAGGAAAACGAGCTAAGGTGGCCCTCTTAATTTCAGTCCATTGATGAGCAAGGAAAACGAGCTAAGGCGGTCCTCTTAGTTTCCCTTGACCCTTGTGAAGGACTCTTAACCATCATCCACCCTAATAATCTGCCAATGACATAATCTAGAGTCCTAGGAAGCATGATGGGTTACCCATTCTACTTATTCATGCACTCTCAAGAAACTTGATTAAGGGTCGAACCACCCAGGGGACTAAAATCTTGCGTTGCTAACTTATCTACAGGATCTAATCATGATAATTCCCAATTCCTCCACTTATTAAGAAATTTTCTGAATATAGTTCAGGTAAGCAGGATGATCAATCCCTCTTAACACATTTTTTGCAGTAAAGTCCATCAGTTGCAGTATTTTAACTATCATCATGTACAAAAATATCAATACCAAGCCTTCATCCACGAATTAGTCTAGAAGAAATCAAGCCTGCTATACATCAACTTTCTAATGTGCATTATTTCCTAGCGGGGCCACCAAACAGTTCATTGTTCACAATCAAATCCAACTCAAGATCCCTTTATATAAAAGATTTCTCAAGCAGCGACATTATTGATGCTTCAATTAATCACCAAAACCACAAATTTTTAAAACTTCGCCATCTGTTTCTTCCTTTGTAACTTCTGATAAAACATATTACCCCAAAATAACCTTCAAAATTCAAAAAGATCAAAACTTACCAGTTACCATCCATGGCAGCATCACATTCTCCAACAGTAGCACATTAAAGCGATCAGCAAGAACCTTCAACTTTGTCCAAAAACAACTCAATCCACACTTGCATAAGTACTTGTCCCAATTATCCGGAATCCAAGCCTTGATTGTATATTAATCCAGGGTATCCAATTTCAAAGACCCAAGACTTCAAGGTGACGATGTGATCAACAAAGGGGGAGTTAAGATTCATATGCACCTAGGATCTTATATCCTCTCCACTACCAAAAGCAGTATTTTAACTAGTGATGATTTGTTCTTAATCTAGCATTTATCATGCATAGCACTCATTCCTAATTTGTATTCAAAGACAATCACCACCATGTACTATTTTAAATAATAAACGGTTGTGATTCAAAGTTGCATAGTCTCAACCAACAAGATGATGAACTCATCATTAAGGTCACAAATATTTACCTTCCTTCATTAGTTCATTAGAGTGTGGTTCTTTCCCAGCTTTGCTTTTGCCTCATCTAGAATATTCTTAACATCATTGTAGTCACTTTTCCTTGCCAAATGGTGGCTATGCATGTTGCCAAAACCACTCAACTTTGCCTGACACCTTCTTCAACTGAATGGTAATAGATATCAATACTTGTTTCATTGTTTCTTCACCATCAGCCCTTTCTTTGAGAAGTCTCCTCTCTTAATTGAGGATATACTCTCATTCAAAAGTCAAATTGAGAAAAAAATACCCCTACCACCCATTTCCAAAATTTTGGAAATGGATGGTAGGAAGGTGGAAGGTGGAAAAGATAGCAACATGGTGAGGCACCACTTTGGAGTTTTAAGGCTTAAGCGGTTCAAAGTGGGGGGAAAACACAAAGGAAAAAAAAAGTCTAAATCCTATTGAAATTCTAAACATAGATAAAAATTTAAAAAATAACAATAATAAGAACTTGTTAAAGCCAGAGATGGTTTTAGGGGTCTAAGGCTTGTTTTATAGGTTCGCATAGAGATGGTTTTGCTAGGGATGAACTTGTCAAGAAGACTTTAGCAACGAGAGCTTCAAGTGAATTTGGGGTGAGCTTCGACTAAAAAGAGGTGGATGAGATGAAGAAGAGGAGGCCACGCTGCAGAAGACTTGACAAAGTAGATGATGCGAACAAAGGAGGTGGACAAGGTAGACGGAGGAGGTGGACGAGGCTAGAGGCAGAGAATTTGGGGTCCAGGGCTTTTGGGTTTGAAAGACAGAGGAGAGAATCAAGGAGCGAAGGAGAAAGGTGAGCTTTAAGGTTTAAAAGCAGATCAGGTTCAGGTCAAGAATTGAAGGGCTGCTTAAAAGTTCTTTATTTGTTTTTTAAATCACTGGAAAACATTTTTAAAAGCGAAGATCCTTATGACTGCTTTCTCCTTAAAAGTCGCTTTAGCGGCTCATTTTTGTCGCTCTCTTCACTATTGCCCGCAATGCATGACTGAAGACTTATAATAAACAATAAAAGAGTGAGAAGTTTTAGGGTGATATAAAATAAAGATCAAGTGTTTTTTTAGATACCCGAAACTGCATT